GGGTTTTGGGTTCTTAAGGTAGAGAAATGCAGGAGAGGAGCCCTCCCTGACGTTCTACGCTATTAGCGACGTGCACGTCGAGCTCAAGGAGAAGTCGACACCACGCTTTTGTTAAGGCTTTAGGGTTGACCAGGACCCCCCAAGGGCCCTTTAATAGAGCCCTTATGGCCCTTAACAGCGGGTATTTAGGATATATTAGAGGGTAGTTGGGGGGTCCAGGGAGGGTTTAGGGTTTAGGTTTTAGGGCTCAAGGTTTGGGCTTCAGCGGGTTTTGTAAGATTTTCGAGGTTGTTGAAGGGTTCGATCGGGGCTCGATAAGTTTTAGGAGGGTTGTGTATGGGGTTGTTCAAAGGATTGCTTGTGCCATTTCGTAAGTGGGTTTTAGGTTTTATTTTAACCAAGATTTATGACATTCAGGCTTCAGGGTTTGGGGTTTAGGGTGGCATGTTTGTGGTTCAGATTCTGCAGTTCTCGACCAGCAATCGGCAACATGAGGCAGGATCTGAGTCCCTTAGGTCCCCAATACCCAACCTTTCAACTTTTCGGGTTCTTATAATTTAGTAGTAACCTGAAAGTTTAACCGTTTTGTGTTTTCTCGGGCTTATTGGGGAAGTAAGGTCCTGCAATGAAGCGGCAAGGTGTCCCAACTCTCCTCCACGCATACCTCTGTCGGACCCTCGGCGGCCGTCCACAATCATCCCATCGCACGTACCACAGCTGTGGTCGAGGCAATTCGGCCTGGCTCTGATCACACAACCATTCGCTGCGATCTACAAATCATACAGCAAAGACGCCAACCTTGTAGTATATCCTGTTTCTGCTACTTGGAGGTAGAGACTGCTACCAATGCCGCGGAGTAGACTTAGTAGAGTCCCTTGCAGAGGAAAGTTGTCCGGGCGCTATCCTCAACCCGACCCTCAATCATTCTACTGGTCTGAACTAAACCCTAAACCCTAAACCCTAAACCCAAAACCCTAAAGCCCATGCTGCTGATAGTCTTTCCTGAAAAGGATTTAGGGCTTCGGCTGTAGGGCCAGGGAGCTGACTGTAATGCAGGTGTTTAAATGCTGACTGCTACTCTTGCCTAGTGCTGCTTCACTTATATGAGTGTGTTACTAGAATATGCCGCCCCAAACTTTTGGGTTTGAGGGTTAGGGTTTAGGGTTTAGGGTTTAGGGTTTAGGGTTTAGGGTTTAGGGTTTAGGGTTTAGGGTTTAAGAATCCATCAAAGACCCGGAAGTTTAACTTTCAGTTGTTGTAGCGGGCTTGAAACTGTGGACCCCAAAAACCTCTACCCCAAACACCTAAACTTGAAACCCCAAGCCCCAAATCCTAACACTGAACCCTGCCAGCACATGATCCAAAATCCCAGTTCCTTAAAGCCCAGACAGAACAAGCCCCACCCGCACCCGAACCGGCACCTCACATTGTAGCAGATGCCATTCAGTAGATAAAACGCCAGACAGTCAGGGACTGCAATCTCGACCCGGGTTTAGTAGCACCACCTAAACCCTAAACCCTAAACCCTAAACCCTAAACCCTAAACCCTTTTGAAGGATCCATGCGCAAGGCAAGCCGGAGTCTCAAAAGGCCAATGTGAAAACCTGTAAACCTGTACGGTTTAGGGTTTAGGGTTTAGGGTTTAGGGTTTAGGGCAAACGCTGCAAACATAGGAGGCTGAGACCTTTTTGTTGCAGGTTATAACACCGAAAGCAGTACGTTTTTGCATTCCCAGAGAGACCCTAAACCCTAAAACCCTAGAAACCCTGTTCCCGTTCCTTAGACTCTCCAAGAGCTAACATAGGAACCTGATCAAGCAACCCGGATCTTTGTTGCTCCCTTTACATGCCATTTTGTGGCTTTTGTGGCCTGTCCGAAGCTGCAAATCGAAAACGTAGGAGCCGAAAGAATAAACCTCAAACTCAAAATTGAACCCAGAGTTTAGGGTTAGGATTTAGGGTTACAAAAGTCCCCGTTTAGCGCTGAAAGTGAAAGATTTTCTGGCTTATGAACTCGGCAACGAAGGCTGGTTGCTCTTAAGATTCCATGAAGGCTCATTAGACCCGTACAGAGTCTCGTAGAACGTTTAGAACACCCGATGCAGCTTGGCTTCCAACCCGAAACCCTGCACCCCCAAAGAGCTGCAGGACAATATGGAGTGGCTGAGACAGCTCCCTCGAGTCTCGCCAGCCTTTTGCTGTGTAAACCCGAAACCCTAACCCCTAAAACCTAAACCCTAAACCCAAACCCTAAACCCTAAATCCCACACATCCGCCTCTAGCCCTTGACTCTCACCGGTGGCGGGGGTTGTAGGGGAGGTAGGATTTAGGGTCTGGTAACCTTTAACCTTTTGGGTTTTTTTTATAAAGCCCGACCACAATTAAGCAGCTTAGGCTTTTGAGGCTTTACAAACCCCTTGGCTGTATAACATCCTACTTGGAGGTTCAGGGGTAATCATAAAGTGGGTGGGCCAAAAGTAGGGTAGCTATAGTTACAATTACAACCCATATTCGGGGACTTAAAGCCACGTATTCCGAATACCATAGCAAGAAAAGTTAACCTCCTGTTTGGCCCCTCAGGTTGTGAAGCGGGGGCAACACCAAACACCTTCTTTGGCTTGTTTGGAGCCTTTGGTTCTGTTCGCAGGGGTTTGGGTTTAGGGTTTGGGGTTTAGGGTTTAGGGCAGTGTTTGGGAGTTTGGTGGATTTCGAGTTTGGGGGTTTAGGATTTAAGGTTTATAGGACTTGAAACCCTCAGAAAAGAGAGCAGAGCGCTCCACCCCAAACCCTGCAAACAAGAAAGCCCTCTTCACTCAATCCTAACCTAAACCCTATTTGCTATGTTTTTTGAACTCATAAATGGGGTTTCCGAAAATAGGGGATCCTAATATAGTACCCTAAATACTGGAATCCTTACTATAAGGACCCCAAAATAAGGTACCCCTTGTTTTCGGAAACTCCCAAATGCTGAACACACAACCCCCGACAGGATTTGACAAGGCGGCTGTCATTGTGGCGGGAGATCTCGGTGTGAGCCTGAACCAGGCGCCCCAGGGCACGATTTGGGACTTTCCGAAAATAGGGGGTGCCTTATTTAGGGGTTTAGGGTTTAGGGTTTAGGGGTTTGGGGTTTAGGGTTTAGGATTTGGGACTTTCCGAAAATAGGGGGTACCTTATTTTGGGTCCTTATAATAAGGATCCTATTATTTAGTGTATTATATTAGGGTCCCCTATTTTGGGAAACCCCCATTTAAAGTTAAGGTCTAGGGTTTAGGGTTTAGGGTTGGGGATTCAGGGTTTAGGGTTTAGGATTCGGATTTAGGATATACGGTTTAGGATTCAGGATATAGGATTTAGGGTGTAGGATTCGGGGTTCGGGATATAGGGTTTAGGATGCAGGGTACAGGGTTTCGGATTTTTCGGGTTTAGGCTGTGGGGTCGGTATAAGCAGTGCCCCTTGTCAAGGCTGTGGGGTTTAGGGTTTAGGGTTTAGGGCCAGTGACTCGACGATATTTTTCCCCGAAGCCCTGTACGAAGTGTTTTGCAAATTGGTTGGTGTTATTTCTCTGTTGTGGTTTCTTGCACTGCAAGGAATCTTCCAAACATGTAGCAGTTGCTTACCCTGACCCTCTAAGGGCAAGTGAGAAGCCTACTACCCTAAACCCTGATTATTAAGCCTGAACCCTCATGAACCAAGTCTGGGGATTCGGGTTTGGCTTTGTTGCCTCAGGGTGCTGGGTGTCAGGGGTTTCCGTAGGATCTTAGGAGTGTGGCTTCGGGTTCATGTAACTTACTGCTCAAGGGCTGGCATACAGTAGGGTTTACAATGGGTTCGCAATGGATTTCAATATTTGTTTGTAGGATTTCCATCATGGGCGGTTGAAGCTGATGTAGACCTTCGTATTATAACAAAAGACAGACTCGGGGTTTGAGGTTTTACAGGACTTGAGGATCTAAGGTTAGTGAACATTCCTGACCCAACAGCCCAAACCCTAAAACCACTAACGGTTGGTGGTTGTAGGGTTTGGGCTGATGGGTCAGGAATGTTCAGGGTTTAGGGTCAAGTAGTTCTATGTTTGGGGGTTTTCGTGGTATTGCATTAAGGATTTAACCTATTTGGCTTTCAGGGTTTAGCGTGTGCTTGAAGGATCGTGGGACTTAGTAACTGGGGTTAGAACTGAGGTAACCATGGCCGTAAGTACTTGTAGCCCCATTTAGGGTACTTATAACCTTACTTACTAAGCCCCATGATCCTCCAAGGGTTAGCAGGTTTCTTGTTGTAACGAACAGCGCAAACTGCCGAAAGCCCGAACCATGTCGTGCAGGGACCCTGGACGAGACCGATGCGAATGGCGTTTACCCAAAGCCCTAAACCCCTAAACCCTAAACCCTATTTGCCCGGGGAGTGCTTGGAGAACTGCGGCTGCCCCCTGTCAGGTTGAGATTTGACCCTAAGCCCTAAACCCCGGCTTAGTTCGTATAGCGGATATCCAGAACTCCTCGTATTGACTTGGTGGCTCGGGTCCCCTGGTTCAACAAAGGCCCCTGTGGTGGCAGCAATACAGCTTCACTGAGGAATACACCTTAAATTATCGGTGCCTTAATCTTATGGTTTGAGGTATTCCTTAAGTTAGAGGGCCCTTAATCTTATGCTTTGAGGGGTATATATATATATATATAATATTCCTGAATTTAAGGGGCCTCTCTGCGGCAGACGGCCTGAGTGACTGTTAGCTCCTGGGGTTGCGCCCGGGCCCACTCGACTCCACGACGGTTCGACCCCAGCAAACCCCAAGGGTCCATGTGCCCAAGTAGTATAATATACTTGCGTGGTTGTCAAAATTATGGTCCCTTTTTGGGTCCTTATTATAGAACGGCACCTATTATTTAGGGAACCCCAAAAGGGACCCTAATTTTGACAACTACCCACTCTGGTCCCAAAGTACCTAAATACGGACTACTTTATTAAGGCCAAAGTATATACTATTTGGGCACATGGACCCTGAGGGATAGCGAAGACTTGGTGGGACGTACAGCAGCTATGGAAGAGAACTGTTTCGGCTACAAGAGCAGGAGTCACACGATGCAAGTCGCCGGCGTAGCGCTCCAAGAGGCGTTTGGCACGAAGCGCCTCGGGATCTGTCATCGTAATCGCCAAGATTCACGGCTGAACGGCGTGGAGTAGGAACTGGACAATGTCTCAGGAAGCTCGACTTGCGCACCGTGCTCGCCCTGCTCATGTCATGCCGTTTGCGGTCCCGTCACAGTGAAAGTCCCATTGTTGGGTCACCCACCCCCACACCCCCACCGAATGCCCACCTACACCACCACCACCAGCTTCCCATGTGTCGCTCAGGTACGCGTGCGCTTCTAGAAGCCCTGCCCTTTCTTACGCCATAATGCAGCAGGATGGTTTGTTCTTTGGACAGCCCCGAACCCGATTGCAAGGCGCTAAGAATCCACAAAACACAGGTGGAGTGGGGATCTGCCAACGTCTAGATCCTTTGAGATTTTTAGCTCTGCAGGTGAAGCAGGCATTGCTGCTGTTCAAGGAAAAGTTCGACTATGCTGCATGGCTATATTTGTTTGATGGTGAGTTTGGGTTTAGGTTTGGGGGTTTAAGGTTTAGGGGCTCAGGGTTTAGAGCTTAGCGGTTTAGGGTTTATGGGTTTAGGGTTTGGGGAACTAGACTAGGGGGGCATAGTATAGTATACTTAGGATACTAAGGAGACCTAACAATTTTACACGAGTCCGATGACCCTTGTTTAGGGGTTTTGACAGGGGTTTGCGCAAGGGATTTGTAATCTTTTCCAGGGAGTTTATGATCCCACTAAGCCCTCAAAGGACCTCGTAAACCCTAAATCCTAAACCCCTAAACCCTTAACCCTCTAAGCCTTAAAGGAACTCGTAAAGGGACCCGTCAAGGACATGAAGAGAAGAGCCCTTGACGGATGCAGTGTTTCAGCGCATGCAATTCCAGGATACGACGGCGTAGGGCTTACCTGGACCCTAAAGAACTTACGTTTCTAGGGTTCTTAATGCTATGATCGTCCTGAATATAAGTCCATACGAAGGTAGGTTCTTTAGGGTCTAGGTAGGGTGTTTATGTGTATGTTGTTTGGAGGTTCTCTATGATGTGAAACCTTTAAGGGGTTCGGCCAGGGAGGCAATGGCCCCACCTTCAGCTGTACGTGAGCCCAGAGTCCACCCGGAGCCCTAAACTCCAAGCCCTCCAATGCTAAACCCGAATCCCTAAACCCAAACTCTAAGCCCCAAACCTAAACCCTAAACCCTCAAAAAAATAGACGGAATCCTAAAGTCCCCAACCCTAAGCCGGAAGCCCCAAACACCGAAAAGCCGCGCCGTTCGAGGTCTTCTACTGCTACGGCAACCCTAAACCCTAAACCCTAAACCCTAGAACCCCTAAACCCTAAATCCCAAACCCTAAACCCTAAACAGGTCTTCTACTGCTACGGCAACCATGAGACCTGGTGCCACAAGAGTGTGGGAGACGAGGCCTCCTGCAAGGGGGATGAATATGTTTAGGGGTAGTTCCTTTAATTTGAGGGTTTAGGGTTTAGGTTTTAAGGTTTTAGGTTTGAGGATTTAGGGATTTAGGGTTTAGGGTTTAGGATTTAGGGATTTAGGGTTTAGGGTTTAGGGTTTAGGGTTTAGGGATTTAGGGTTTAGGGTTTCGGGTCTACTTGGAGGTTCATGGGTAGTTATAAGTAGAGTTATAAGTAGGGTAATTATAGTTATGACCCGTATTAGGGGACGTATAACCCCACTTATCACCACCGATGACCCTTCAAGTAAGGCTCCTTTCCAGGGGGTTTTAGGGTTCCGAAACGGGTTCCACATGGTTTTGCTTAGGGTTCTATGCAAGGGGGGCTTCTAACTGCACTTCCAGGATCATAGGCTTTTGTAACTATTTGAACTAGGGTTGTAAGCAAGCAATAAGGCCACTATACTTGCGAATATGTGTAGCCACAAGCAAGGTACCTAAAAGCTTGACTAAACCCTAAACCCCAAACCCTAAACCCTAAACCCTAAAGTAGATAAGGGCATGAGTAGTAATCAGAACCGGGTTTTGACATATGTACGCGGGACTAGGGTTTCGGGACATCTTGACAGGAGAATAGGGTTGGAGTTGTATAAGAGTCATGCTTAAATTGAAGACTACAAGGGCGTCTTACACGAATGTTTAGAGCTATGTGTTACGTAGAGACATAAACCTTGAACTCATACTTGGAGGTGCCGAGGTCCCCAGTGTTTCTAAACGAGCTCTTACAATTGAGCAGAGCAAACGCGCAAAGTTCGATATTTTGTTCATACATAGAAAATACACCCCTAAACCGTGAACCTTAAACCGTGTCAGTCCTCCCTCGCTTCGTTGCAGGAGCTCCACTTCCATGCTACCGACTCGTTCGAAAAGCTGGATGTGCTGCGAAGGCTTTGCGAGGAGCTGGAGGCGCCTACACAGCTCAGGGCGCAGTCTTCACGTCTTCACTAGGGGCCGAACAATACTTACTTATATTGTTCCTCAATCTTCCGTATCATCTATTTATACTATAATAACCCCCCCCCCCCAGAGCCCTGGTCGAATTTTCCAGGCCCCATCAAGCAGGATTCATAGAGGAAGCATATGCATGGGTAGTTACCAGTGGGGTTACAGGGTTTCGTGGTTTAGGGCTCAGGGCCTTCAGAGTGCATGTATAAGTGGTGCTATACGTCCCCTAGTATGGGTTATAGTTCTAGTTACTTTATACCTATAATCCCACTTAGGGCCACCCCTGCACCCCAAACTCTGCAGAACCCTTATAAAGGAACACCACTTTATAAGTAGCCATCCCTAAACCCTCAACCGTAAACCCTAAACCCTAAGTAGCCATGAACCTCTAAGATCAGGTCTTCTCTGGGCCTTTTTTTATAAGGGCTCAGGATCAAGGGTGCCGCCTTCTTCTGGGTTCCTAAAGTGGAACCCGGAGAGCCCAATACCCCTTAATTCAGGAATATACCTTAGCTCATAATGCGAAGGCCCCTATAATTTAACGGTATATCCCTTAAATTAAGGGGTATTGGGCTCTCTGGGAACCCTAATTTAGAGAACCGCCCATGTGGGCCTTGGTGTTGTAACTGAAGACGAGCCAGATGTTGGGTTCAGGGGTCCAGAACCTTCGAAAATGCAAAATCTCCAGGGTCCTTAGAACCTAGAGACTCCAAAACCCCTTAATTAAGGAATAGACCTTAAACCATGTTAGGATTCCTGTTATAGCTTAAGGTATATTCCTTAATTAAGGGGTTTTGGAGTCTCTGGGAATGAGGCAGCCTTCTCTGGTGTCCTCTGGTTGCTAACCCTAAACCCTCAAGCATACGTTTTTCATTCCAGACGAAGCAGCAGTGTCGGCAACATACGTATGTGATGCTGTGGCTGAACGAACTGCTGCCGTTGGGCACCGCACCGAGCACGCACCTACACTCTTAGCTTGAGGAGCCCCTAAACCCTAAACCCTAAACCCCACACAAAGCCCTACCCCAAAAAACGCAAATCCGAAGATCTCGAACTCTAAGCCCCCAAACCAGGATATGAAACCACAACTCGAGAGCACGAAGCCTCAAACCCGAAACCCTAACCCCTAAACCCTCTAAGCCCTAAGCCCTATAAACCCCAAACCCGAAACCCTCGAAACCCTAAACCCTAAATCCGAAGACCCTGAAGCCTTCAGTTCTACAGTCCTCCCTAAATAGCTCCTAAATGCCCCCTAAATAGCCGAAGAAAGAAGCCTGAATTTAAGTACCGATACTATTCTACCGGGTTCCTGATACAGTTATGTAGAGCTGGTATGATAGCATGTACCCCCCCCCC